ATGAAGCAATAAATCATATATTATTCCAAAATAAATTTTATAAAATAAAAGAGCAAAAGAAATTTAAAAGAAATTAAAAATTTTAAAAATGGGAGAGAGAGAGAGAAAAAAAAGTTTTGATAATACTAACAGCAAAATAATCTTTTCCCAATAATCCCTGTGCATTTGATCCATCACCATATAGTATAGACCAGGTACGACCATCTTCTTGATAAGTTTTTGAAAGTGATGAATTGAAACGATTTTTTTTTAAGCAATCATCTGCGACACAATTAACTTCTGGAATCCAAACATTTGATGATCCTGTATCTAATACAACTAGAAATGTTTGTTGTCCAATAGGTGAGCCAAGCGATATGTTTGCAACATATTCCATATCATCGTAATCGTAAACCTAAATTATAACTATTCATCATTATCACTATCTTCTTTAATTATAAGTGAAAAATAAATTAAAAATTTAAGTTTGTTAATAAATTCATTATTACATTTTTTTAAAACAGATCTAAAGCATTTTAAAAACAAAAGAATATTTTATATAATTTTTTCGAACATTTCAAAAAATTGAAATCAATTTAACAATTCGGTAGTTTCTTTCTTCCTTTTTTTGATTGAGATTTTTAATGAAGATCATTTTTTAATTAAAATAATATTTAAATAGGGTATAAGCTATTGCATATTTCACTATTTTTCTATAATTGTCACTAAATTTTTTTTTTCAATTAATACTTTCCTGACCACTTGGAAAATTTTAGTCTGATATGAACCAATCATTCGTATTACTTCATTGCTAGCAATCAGTAGCTAAACATCAAAAAAAGTTCAAATCAAACTCTTGCAAATTTAGTAAAAAATGAAAAAAATAATCGGTTGGGTACTTTTTGAAAGATTATGGACTGATTAGTGTTGATAATTATCAAACATTTGCTATCAGATATTAACTGATATAAATAATTTTCATATTATTCACTTCTAAGATTAACTTTTAACTTTTATATTTTCAACTTGCATTTATACAAGATTATGCTATAGTTATATTAGCAATAGAAGAGAAATTGGAAGAAGAATTAACAAAATTGATAATCTCGAGAAGGTTAGACCTGAATTTTCTGAGATGAGTAATTAATAATTTATTTATATAGCTTTAGAAAACTAATTTGCTTACTCTTTCTCCTATTTTTGTTCGTGATCGAGTAGCACGAAAATGATTCTTCTTTTTAAGATGTTTGGACCATAAACCTTTTTTAAAAAGTTTTTTTCGTTTACTTTCAATTTTTGTCAACTGAGTCTGCAAATAAATGATGGAAAAAAATATTGAGAAAAATTAATCATTTCTAAAATGATGAATAAACAAATGATTTTATAATAATATTGCAAGATAAACTTCAGTAATATCAAATAAGTTAGTTTCAGATTTACTTAATGATCGAATTAACTTAGTTGACTTACTCTGTGTACAGCAGCTACAATGCAAATCAGTACAGCTGTTATGATAAGTACCTTCATGAGTGAATAGCAAGTTTGTTGTATTTGTAATTACTTAATAGAAATAAGAATTGAGTCCAAAATTTGCTGTAATATATTTTTTTAATCTTTTCAACTTTTAGACATAATTTTTGGACTTGGAAATGATACTTTTGGAATAGCAAATATTACAAGAAGGAAACTTATGTGATACGAAAAAATATTGTTAATAATGAAATTTGCAACACTAACGTACAAAGGTATTGTTTATGTGAAATGATTTCTCTCTCTTTTCCCTCTTATCAATTATCAATTATGAAGTCTGTGGTTGCTTATTCCTCAATGTTAATATTGTGTATACAAAGATATTTTGTTGATAATGTATCAGTATTATGTATTGTAAACAGAAGAATATTTCTATTTGAATAATATTTTCAAGATAAATGAAGCAAACATACTGTAGGTTTGATTATGAAGTAGGGAAGGGTATAATATGAGTACTGTGAAATAGATCAACAATAATTTATAAATTCGTTTGCGATGATGGAAAAATGTAGGGAAGAATAGAGCACGGATACTGTACATTTGTGTGGGGAAGAGTATGGTATGAATACTGTACAATTGTACAGAGAACAATGGAGCACGGGTACTGCACGTTTGTGTGAGGAAGACTATGGCATGGGTACTGTGGAAGGAATCAACGGTACTGTAGCTTTTGTTATGAAAATAAGGAAGGATATGGTATAAATAATGCTCGAATATAAATAAATAAACAAATGATTATTTGCATAACTAAGGTAACCATCATTACCTTATTATTTCTCAAACATTTCACTCATTGAGCAGTATAGTAGAGCAATGTGCATAAAAGTAAATATTTAAGTTTAACTTGAAACAACTAACAAATTTGGATTTAGCAAAGGAGAAAGTGCAAATATTATGCATACCATCTAAGATAAATGGTACATCTATTTTCTTTAATCAACAAATGTTACTGCTTAGCTCTTGTAAATTAGTCCATTTTTATGTTCAAATTAATTATACAATAAATATTACGAAAATATGTGCAGTAGCATTCAATAACTGACGTGTCCTGCGTGATCTGTACACGTAAGCGTTATCAACTGATAATGTTGTGATACTATCAGTACTCACACATTTCAAATTCAGAAGCGAGCGATGATAAAATCCATCACAGTGTTTAGCATTGGAGCATTGCTCGACTTGCTACTTTCTGCTGATTGTTTAAGAATACTTTTTTGTGGTTTTGGTTTATTCAGTGTTTTGGGTATTTTACTCGTTGACTTAGGTATTTTCAACTTTAAACTAGTTTAATGGTGTGATTTAATACTATTAATACTAGCAGTTTGTCGAAATTCAGGAAAAATTTAAGAAGCTATGTGTTGATATGTTGTTTGTATTTGAAATCGTTGTATATTTGTTACATACGATAATAACTTTTGTTAATATTACTGATAAGGAAAGTTTTTCTTTTGTAGGTACTTGGAATATATCAACGAAATGGATGAAGATAGCATGAAGAAGTTGCATGAAGTAAGTTATTTGTTATCTGTTTATCTTTTAATATTTTCTTTATTCTTGTTGTGACAAAGCTAAACGGTTATAAATGTCATGAAAGATTTAAATGTTTGATATTCTTAGCTTTTAATTCAGTAAACTCAACTTTTAGTTCATAGAAAATACCTTTTATCAATTACTACGTAGTAAATTATTTCTCAAATTAATGTATTCGCAAAATCATTTGTATTTATGCTTTCAATGATTGCATTTCATTTCAGAATAAGACGGGTAGTGAAGCAGGAAATGAACAGGCTGAAAAAGCGAAGGAAGCTGCCGAGCGTGAGGAAAATATGAAAAACCGCATTCTTTCACAGGTTTGACAATTTTTCATCTGTTTTATATTATCTTATTCTCCTTATCATTACTGTTACATACATAGCTCGGAAAGTCATCGCGGAAGTTCATCGAACTTTTTCATCACATTAATGCTCTAAGATCCGCTTATTTGACTTGAAACATTCAACTTATAATTTTCAATTTAAGTAAACAATTTGTTACGTTCAATGTTTTGCAAGTTGTAGGTTCTTGATCAAAATGCAATGGCTCGGCTAAGTAATTTATCTGCGGCAAAACCTGAAAAAGCTAGGATGGTGGAAAATATGATCGTACAAATGGCAAGGTGGGATATTTTCCCTAAGGTTTTTTTTTACATGACGATCTAAAATGAATTCTTTGCACATCCGTGATACTGTTCCTTCTTTCTCATCTTTCAAATTTGTCCTACAATGCAGAGAGACTTCTGACAGATGACAATTTCCATCGAATTTATGAAGATTACCTTGTTTTAGTTTTTATCCACTCGAGCTCAGATGTCATTGTAATTTTATGATCTTTTCTAACAGTAATGGATTTTTGATTTGTAATATAGTATCGACAAATCATTCTTTCTACCAATAAATTATTTTCGTCATATACTTTTTTATTTAGAAGAGGACAAATAGTGGGTAAAATGAACGATGAAAAGTTAAGGCAATTGCTAAGTCATTTTTCAGAACGTACTCGACAAACAACAACTGTCAAGGTAAATTCTTTTCATGCACTTTTTAATTAGAAACTTTACAACCTTCAATAGAAAGTTTCCAAAGACTACTTTAAATTTTAAACTTCCTTACAGTTCGATAGAAGACGAGCGGCCATCGACTCAGATTCCGATTGAACTAAGCTAGTCCATGTCATATTTTTTTTGTATGCTTTTATAGAAATTATCTGGAATGTCGTTAGTTATTATGGTGATGTCGGTATAATTTGGAGCTTCGCTTGACAAAATGCCTAATCTATAATATGAATATCTTACCTAAGATCATCTAGTTCCCAAGAATATTGATTCGCTGAGTTATGTTTTGATCATAAGTCTCACCATCCCTTATTCATTTGATAGGTGACAAAAGCTATAGTAATGCCAGATTTTTGGGCTTGTTGACTGTTTTGATGATTTCGGTACATACTTGTTACCATTCAGTTATTTGCAATATTTAATGTTCTTCGAGAACCTTTTATTTCCGTATTTTGTTTTTTCTCGTATTCCAAGATGCAATGCATTTGAAATATTGCTTTAATCCTGAAAGAAAGATTACCAAAACCGTTTAAAGCACTATGCCATCTGCAGAGATATTTAATATTCGTTGAGAACTTCTACCTGGTTTAATTAGTTTCATTATGCAATTAAGTTCCATTAGGAGTGAAACTATATTAGATTCATTGTAGAAACCCACTGACTTTATATTCAAAGAAACTGATTTGATGGATAAGTAGAAAGTGGAGATTTTTTCAGGAAAATTGAGGTCTTGTCTTTTATAGTTTTAAAATTTCATTCTTATTTTTATAGGGAAATAGAGTAGTTATCAAGGAATTTCAAAAATCTTAAGGGAAGTGGTTGTAATTTACATGCTATTTAAAAAAAAGAACAGTTTTGGCCTTTATTTCAGTTACAAAATCAATATATGAGAAACCAAATATCATTGCAATCGTCTCCAATATTCCACCTTCTGCATATCGCAAATCCTAAAAGAAAAAACAGTCTATTTGGGATTCACTTGACGGTTCTACTTTAGTTTAAGAATTTCTCAGCATCTTGGACGAGCGAAATTATATAAGCAGGCTGTAGTCTGTTAGAATTCAGAATCGATTTGTTGAAGTTTCGCAACTCAGTCGTTGCAAAAGAATGATAAATCTCGGATGAAGCAATAAAATCAAGGAAAGATTCTGTCATCAAACGAAGTTAGTCTAGGAAAAGTACATGCCGCAATAAAGTGTGAGGAAAGGCCTCGTATCTTAAGTTATTTATTCTTCATTAAATATGCAGCATCGTCGGTTCCTAGCAAGATGCTGAGTGATAATTACTGTTTGTTGAATGCAAACAGAGAGAATTATTGAAAAATGAAAGAGATGCATCTTACGGGCTAAGTTGATCCGCAAATGAGCGAAGTGCTTTGGCTGTTGTCATATACTCCTTAGTATCTGGTAGAGCAGCACTCATTTCGATTAACAAAGAATCCGATAATGGCTTCAGAACATTAGGATCATAAGTTCCTATTTTTTCAGTTCGTGTAATATTGTTAATGATAACCTGAAATTTGGTCTTGGCACATCTTTTTGACAATCAAAATGACATAAACATTTCCGCTAAAAAATGGGAATGACTTCCTTCAACCAGTCAGCAACATTTACCTTTATATGTCCTTTTGTAAATAGATATCCTTTTGTAAGATATTCATAGTCCATCCTAAAAATAAATCATAAAGAAAAAGTCTAACTTGACTTTTAAGGGTTCAATTTTTTCAAATGCGTACATTAAAATATTAGCTGACATGTCTTCGTGAATCTTCATAGTTTTGGAAGGTACGTCTAACTCATATATACCCATCAAATTTAGAATACAGAAAGATGTAAGCCAGATTCACCTTAGTCCTAATGTTTTTACAAATTCCATCATATTGCTGGAATAAATTAGCGAATCAATAGATTTCCGTATAATAGTAGGACAGTGAACATCTGGTTCCGCCGCTCCCATATATCGGAAATGCCACTGAAAGCTGTTTGCATCTGGTCCGCCAAATTTTCGCCTTAAGCGAACTGTTACATCAGGGTCTTGGCCCGTTTCTGGAAAAAGCAATATACCACTAAAAATAAAAAGCAGTAAGGAACTATGTCAATACGATGACGTCATGGCAAAAACTTTTAGTATACGAAACAAATAGATTTAAACTCTCTAATTCAAATATTTCTGTCGACATATGATTCTATATATATAGTCATAGTCACAAAAAAAAAAAAAAAAAAAACAGTATATAGTCATAGGAAAAACAGCTAGATCAACTCCAATTTTGATTTATAATGCTCAAAATTCAAGAACTACGCGTCAAAATAACTTAAATCCACGTACTGAGGCTAAAAACCATTTCATGTTCGTTAAATGAGTGCTGTCCGGGATCACAGAGACCACGTAATCGTTGCAGAAGTTTCTCCTCATGCTCTTTTAATACACTTCCATATAATATACATTCCTTCAACAAATCACTTTTCACATCTATCCATTTACCGATAACAGTGATTATGTTCAATAAGTCAAATTAAATGAAGAAAAAAAAACTGATGTGAATTACAACCTTGCATTGATAAGTTGAACTTGACGGAGATGTGCTAGTAATAAGCGGAACACTGGCAATAATTTCACGACTACGTTCCGGAAATCTTTCCATTCACTGATCGGTTACAAAATGATCTGATGACTGAAATAGATTGTATATGATCAAAATGACTAGCCATATAACTGAGTGTCATAAATGAACAATTCTATCGATAATCTAACTACACGAAATGGGTAAGACTCAAATATGATTATGACTAAACGATTGATTGCCTTTACGGCCAGAATCATCACTTTAGATCAGACTAATGATAATTAATTAGGCAAACAAGTACAAATCTAAATTACCGGTAAACAATCTTTGCACCTTTACCTCATCTTCTGAAAATCTCTTCCATCCCATCTATCAGGCCGATTGGTACTTCTCGGCCGGCCGACGGTCCGTCAAACTTTGTTGAAATGATCGAAGTATTGCAAAATATCTTCAGGTAATGAGAATATTTCGCACTGTAGGATTTTGTCTTATTTAAATTATTTATTTAATTCATATATAGATTCCTTCAGCTTAAAGCTTATTTGTCTTACATATTTAATTTTGCAATTAATTCATGCCTAAATTCTTGCATTTTAGGAGAATAGCTCTTTTATTCATTTAATCTTCTTTTTTGTTTTATAAGAGAATTACACTTTTTGTAAATCGCTCAATTATATAAGAAGTTAGAATCATCCATATCTCAATCACTTACTATTTGAATCAATTTCAATTAAACTACTATTAATTTTATCCGTGATGTTATCTGTTTATCGTTTCTTAACATCTATAGAATAAATATTCCCTAAATTGTTATATTTTTGTTCCATCATTGTTATTATTATTACTGTGTCATCATTCGTTGAAAGTGAATTGAAAGTGAATTGGAAATGAAGTTTGAATTGAAGTTTGCTACCAAAAATTAAGGAAAAAAAGGAAAAGTGAAATCATACAATGGTTTTATATCCTTTATAGTAAGCATTGCCTTATAATAAAAGTGTATGATTACAGTGAGTGAAGAGTTTAATAAAGAAAGTTTGACAACACTTTACTCTTTTTATAGTGAGAATTTATAAAATTATATGAAATGCTTATAAAAGTAATTATTTTTGGTGCCACGAGCCGAGAAATGTCTGCAACTATTATACTAAGCGCACGACCGGCAAAAGAAAAATTGGAAGCTCTTCTCAAAGAAGTCCAAGAAATGAATTTGACGCCTTCGAAGCAAATGTTGACCAGAGAAGAAACCCGTCAACAGCACGAGGCTCGGAAAAGAATTATTGAAGAAAAAATAATGCGTCTCAAACTGCATATTGGTACACTTGAGACAATTAATACTAACTGGGTCCAATCATACAACATGTTCCAGCAACGAAGAGAAAGGAAGAAGAAGACAAATACGCCAAAATGGTCGAAGATAAAAGAGGTATTTTAAACTTAGTAAGTGAAGGCGAAGAAGTTATCATAACCTTAAGTATGTATATGAATGACTCAGAGTTAGTAATCTAGCGTCTTAAAGAAGGCGAAATAAAGGAGTAACCAACTCAAATAACCCCTTACCCAACTGTTAACTTACCTCAACTACCACTGCGTACTTTCAGTGGTAACCCTAAGATGTGGAGAGGATTCTGGAGCAGCTTTGAAGCTGCAGTCCATTTACAAAAAAATACCAGACATCCAAAAATTAAATTAATTGCATGTCTAAAGGGAGATGCCTTATTGGCTGTTAGAGGTTATGATATAACCCCAGAAAATTATGATGTGATGCGAAAAGTCCTTATTGAAAAATTTGGACAATCACATATCATTAAAAAATCGCTCTACAATGAGTTATATTCTGTCAAGAAGAATGATCGAGAATGGAAGATAACAGTTGAAGCTACTGAAAGAATACTTCTACAACTTGAAGCAATAGGTGAAAATCTCAAACAATCCAGTATTGAAATTATCATTGAAAATAAACTGCTTGCCTGGATTCTGGACAGAGTGTATCAACAAAAAGGAACAGGAAATATGGTCAGTAGCTAAGCTAAGACATTTCTTAGCAAAACTGATCCAAAGAAACGAAGAAGTTACAAGAAGCCAATCCTTTGATATCATGAAAAAGCAAAGGGAAACTAAAAGTAAAATTGATCCACTAATCAGCGATATTTTACAAAAGAAACTTCGGCTCTAACTGTAATAACACCGCAAACACATAGAAAGGCTAATACGAAGATTAACAAAACTCAAAGACCATGTGCTTTTTGCAATAGGAACCATTGGGATAATGAATGTCAAGCCTATCCTAATCTAGAACGAAGAATGCAGCGACTGAAAGAAAACAACGCCTGTCTAAGCTATCTTTAACCGGGACATACGACAATCAATTTCAAGACAAAAAAACGTGTATGTTTTTATTGCAAAGGTCACCATAATACTGCATTATGCTGTACTAAGTATAACGATCAAGAATAATCAATAGAGCCAATCGAAGAAGATCGAAAGACGGCAAAAGTAATCAATTCAAAAATAAAACATTCGAAAGGAAATGACAGAGAAGTTTTGCTTTTTAGCAAAGAAGTTGAAGCAATTAATTTAGATATGCCAGAGGGTGCTCAAGCAACGTGTATATCGAAGAAACTAGCAAAAAGATTACATTTAGAAGCACAGAGATTAGAGCCCCTATTGCAGAAGAAATTGTAATAGTAAACGAATCAAACGCTCCTCATGGTACCTGGAAATTACCAAAAATAAGGAAACTCAATAAGAGACAGGATAATAAGATAAGAAGTGCTTTAATAGAGTTACCACGAGGAAAAATAATGAATCGACCTATTAATATGTTATATCCATTGGAAATTCAACAGAAAGAAGATGCGAAGGACAAATCAGCAATATCGAAAGATGCAATAAATGGAACTGATAAACGAGAGGAACCCATAGCTAAGCGAACTAGAAGTGCTACAAAACAAAAACAAACTTCAATAAAAAACGAAGAATGACTCAAATCCTTCCATCCGAAATCTCCAAGTTGAATTCTTCGTCGGGAGTGTCACGGATTTTAACATCGCGAAGCACTAAATAAATGTTAACAATGCTTAATATAACAATCCATTGATGTCTTTTACAGTTCATCGTAATGGTTTATTTGACTTTTGATCTTATATCAATTCATATACTATAAGCATCTATCATGTAATGTCTATTGCAACTCATAGTAGCCACTTATCATAATGTCTAGAAACCATTGTACTTTCTTTCGTGATATCCATTCAATTCATTGTGATATCCATTTTTAAACCTATTGTTAAAGTTACTTACTATCATCCTTTGTACAAAAATGTCTAATTATAAACTACTCCCACATTTTAATACATAAGATAATTGCTATATAAGGATCACCCTTGTTAAAAGATAATTGCTATATAAGATAATTGCTATATAAGGATCACCCTTGTTAAAAGATTTAGTATATGTGTAATTTATCGCCAAGGACCGACGATTCCAATTTCAATTGTTTTCTATCAACGTTTTGTCCTATTACTTCTGTTAATAAAGAAATTGGTTTATAGTTCTGTTACCTCACGCATTTACATTACATCCAACCAGTCTCCCTGTGGTCAAACACCTCTCCCAATATTATTAATTAAACAAATCATAACCTTCCACGACTTTGGAACATTTCTGTAATATTTCGATATTGCAAATAAGCTAATTGAACAAAGAGCTTGCAACATTTTTTTTTTGTCTGATTTGAATTTTTATCTGTTTTATATTCAAAGTAATTTATGGCATAAAAAGTTTTTTGTTAATAAAGTATAACATTTTAGATTATACAAAATAAGCTTAGTACAATTGGAGGATGAATGTGGATAAATGATTTCTCACCAATTAAAATATAAAACTAAGCAGTTTTATATTTGCTTTTATATTTGCAATTTTATATTTGTCTGAGAAATATTCAAAAAAGAGAAACTTTTGTCTAGAAAAACCTTGTAAATTTAATACAAAATTATTTTGATAGGATTATGTTTCAGCTTTTTTTTTTTTTTTTTTTGATAAGATCCAATTCATCAATTAGAAGTTAATTAATAAGAGAAAAAAAGTTGATTTCAAATTCTTCAAGATACATCCAAGCATGTAACATTGCAGCGTTAAGATAACACACTGTCTATCCGGATGAATTACTGGTTTCAGTAATTAAGAGGATTCAGAAAAGGAAGCAGTAAAGGATATCAAACTTTAAACATTATACAAACATTTGTGATACATGTTCATTCCAATTATCTAACATTTTGACTTTTTACTTCTCATGAAAATAATTAATAAAGCAAAGATTTTTTAACGTTTGAAAAATGATACCATTTTGTTAAGTGAGGAATCAATCTATTATCAGATAACGCTGTTTTTCATTTCGATCTCTAAAGAACTAAGCAAGTTACCTATATTCATCTATTATTTGAAAGCCGAAATAATTTCAATAATTTCATTTCAGCACATTGTTCTCTTATTTTTCTCGGCACAAATTGATTCATTAATAAATAACGATACAAACAATACAACATTAATTAATTTTACTTATTTTAAACTGGCTGTAACAACAAGAAAAATTAGCTGTAACAATGAAATGAGCATCCAATTAGAGCAATTATTTATTTATTTTTTCTACTTCATTTCCGGTCTCATTTTCAGATTCTGTGTTCATTTTTTTTTCCCTAAAAACAATGCTTTCTAACGAATATTTCTTTTCATCTTAAAAGCAACGCACAGCTTATTCATATCTTAACTTTAGCTAGTAAAATTGAAAATTGAAAATTGTACAAGTCATTATCACTTACTGTTTGGCGTAGATTCGATAAAAACACCTTCCAGCACTGATTTTGACATACATTTTAAAGGTCTGTCATAGTGAAGACAAGCTGCCATTTGCAAATATTTTCGTGATTCAACCTCTTCTGCATTCTGTAATTAAATACACAATTTTGACCAATTTATAGTTATAGGTATAACTTACATAAGAATTGTTGGTAACCATTAAACTGCAGTATTTTTTGTTAGTAATTTAAAAACTACTTAGCTAGTGAATAAAATAAAGAGAAATAAAAACCTTTAGTAAAATGATCAGATCAATAGCGAACAGGAAAACGAGGAATAAAAATATACAACCGGATGAAAGGAAGCCGTATGCTTCAATTTTTACATCAGTGCATATATTATAAACTTTCTCTTTCTAAAATTTCACTCTCTCTACACTGAAAGAAATAAAATAGACTGAAAGTATAAAATCATAATTTAAACTTTGTCTACTATAAGCGATTGAAGAAATATTTTCTTAATTGAATTGTTTCATAAATTGAATGACATATGTACCAAAAATCCGTTAATTCTAATATTATGTTCCAAATATCTGACGCACATCGAATCCATAATAGCTCGAATTTCAGCTCCTGATGACATATAAAACTGCAAATTTCACTTCAAATAAAACTTAAAATAAACATCTGTAATTAATTAATTAAAATTTTATGATGTTATGGATATCAATGAATTATATTTAATTAGTTCGTTCATAGAAGGTAAAATGTATGTAATTCATTTGATGTAAATATTTGAAAATAATTCACCTCAATGACGGAAAAAACGCAAAAAATAGAAATTTCAACTAAATCAAACATAGCTTCCTCCATCAGATCTTCCTCTTCAGACATACACCGTAAAAACATTAATAATAATAAAATTGGAAAGGCCAAAACAACACAACCAAATATGACAAATCTAAAATTATAAATTTAAATTATAAATCTAGAAAAAAAAATTTATAAATTGAATGTTCCAATTCATATAACATACTAAAATGGATAAAATATGATTTTACTACTTTTCAACAATAATATAATAGTTGTTAAATTAATTAACTTCAATAAAATTTCTTTAAGCTGTCATTTTTTTTTTTTTTGGTAAATACATTTCTGATCAGTTTTATCAATGTGCAATTCTATAAAGATACTTTTCGTTATCACTCGTTGTTATAATTATATCAAAATGAGACTGAAATTTCATGCAAAAATCCAAATCAAAACAAACGAAAAAAAAAATAAATAATAAAAAGGAAAAAGGTAGGAATGCACATTAAAGAGGAATGGGAAAAGTACTTAAATTTGTCCATTGAAAGGCTTTAATATTTTAATAGTATTTTCATCCTCGAAAATTTCAAAATGTTGTTCAGTTTGATTCATTGATAAATTTAATGCTTGAAAATAACGAGTAGTTTCTATAATCCTTCTGACAAATGTTTTCTGATCATTCCACCAATGTGGCATTATTCGACAAGTTTTCTTCAATGGTATCTTTTCCGCCACTGATTCAATCATTTCTATTTGAAAATATTAGCATAAATTAGGAAGAATAAATGTCAATAGAATGTTATATTTTTTTAAAAAAAAAAGTAATGAAATAAAGAAATAATTAAAAAAGAAACAGCAAGGAAAAGTATTAACCTCCTTTAATTATAGGTATATGATAAGTAAATCGTAAACAAGGAAATGCATATATAATAAACCAAGCGCAAAATAGAAGAATAAGAGCAATCAAACGTAAAAACGTATATTCCATACAACTTGGAAAGAAATATTTCTGTGCAGTAGTTTTTTCTGCATTGTAGTTTATTATACAATATTAAAACATATTCATATCTCTATCAAAATGCTATTCTTAATAATTTAAACTTCATTTTACAAAACTTAAATGATATATAATGCTTAAGGATTTAACTTATATTTCAATATGTTGCAGATATAAATTAATATATTTTAAGTCGTAATGCAAAGGTAATAAAATAAAATAAAAGTATTGCTAATGAAATTAAAATTTCAACATTCAGTTCCAATACATAATAAATAGAAACTTTATTTAAAGTTTTTTTTTTTTTTTTAATAGTCTTAGTATTATTAATCAATCATTGTAAATTTGATTTATATTACTTACCAGAATTCTTACGACGTGGCAATCGATTAGTTTCTGAACGATTAATTTTTTTCGCTTTCAATGATTCCACTGATTTTACTTTTCGTCTTGAAAGATTTTGCTCAATTGGCTTTAAATCATCATGCTTTGCAAATAATGGCGCTATTTCTATTTGCGAAAAATCGGGAAGAACTTCAAATGTAAATTATTATATCTATCATTGATATTGATAAGAAATTTGAAGTCATTCTAATCATTTATCAGTCTTTCCTAAATTTATTTGCTCTATTTGATCTCTTTTTTATCCAATGAAAAAAATAAAAATAAAGTGATAATCTGTACATTATAATAATAAGTTAAAAAAAAAAACACAGAAAACAAATATTGCTAAGTAAATATTCAAATAAATAAAATTTATTTTTTTTAATGATCACAATTAAATTAATAAACTAACAATAATTATACTATTACCTTGATTACCAATTGTACGAACTGATGAATTGGTTGGAATTTGATAATTTATTACATTTAATTTATCATCTCTAAATTTCTTCTTAGAAAATTTTTCCTCCTTTAATTGGCTGTTTAATATTTGTTGTTTGGATGTCTTCAAAATATCTTTGGTAGATATTTTCGAGATTAATTCATCAGCTTTAGATGATATTTCTGTCAAATTCATCGTTTTTGATTCCATTTCATCCGTTGATTGTGTTTGTTCAGAATCTGATTTTTCTTGTGTTAAAGAAAGATTCTTTGAAATAGACTGTTGGCTTCTATCTGATGAAATTTCAGCATTTGTATTTGTAATTCGTACAGATATATCGTTGCTATTGCCATTTCTACAAATATTTAAATATGATAAAATTAGGAAAAAATAAAATTCGATGAATTAAACATTTCAAAAACCTTTGTTTAATAGATTTTCGATTATTTTTCATACTGCCAATGAGAAATTGACACACACAAACAACCAATATTTTCACAATAAATCCATCAAATGTATTCATAAAACTTTTTACCTAATATAATTCCATTAATTTGCATAATTTTACAACCAAATGTATGCCTGTAATAAGTATGTACCTTTCGTATAATTATTTTCCTTTTTTCACATTTAAATTTAATTGGATGGAAACAATTCATAATCTGCAAAAAAAAAGAGAGAAACTGTTCCTAAATTGAAAATAATAAGTTATAATTGAAATAATAAATAATTTCATATCACTTATACAAACTTTGATGAAAAGAAAAAAACAATCGTAATTTTTGAATTTAAATTACAAAAATTTCAAAATTTTCATTTTTTATTTTTATATTGAATGAAGACTTTTTGCATTATTACATTTGAAATTTTTATTTTTCAAAAAGAAATTCTTTCGTTACAGATTTATAGAAAAAGAAAAAAATTTTTTCAACAATTAGTATTTGAAGAAGATAAAATATATATGATGAAGGATCGATTGACTTAAGCAAACAGCTGGCAGAATAACAATTTCAGCAATATAAAAAGTACAAAATGTATAGATGAAGAATAAATCAGTAGTTTACTTCTTTCTTACCATTTCAAACGTTGTTTCAATTTCTTATCATATGAAAATACTAAGTAAATAATTGTTAGCCTATTGTTTTGTTAATTAAAAACTTCAAATTATCTTAGATAATGATAGTATTTGTGTTTTGTATTAATACATGCGAAAATTTTAGCAATGAAATATAAGACAAAAATTAAAAAAATAAAATAAAATCGATACTTGCCAATATTTGCTAATAAGATTGAGATTTGCCTTTTGTAAACATCAAATATTTGATGAATAATTCTAGTGAAGTGAAAGTATTTAAATCATTTGTAAGTAGTAATTAATTTTACTAGTGTTATAACAATTTATTTTCATTTCATTCAATTATAGTAATTTAAATTTAGCTTAAGCAATTAACCATTCAATCATATTAAAATATAATAAAATATTTGACATTTATAGAAGAAATCTTTTACTGGGAATGAGAAAGTAGCAAGAAAATTGATTGTACATTGAAAAAAATATTTTAATCCAATAATCCTTTCTTAACTTTCTCCTACTGAATGATCAATCTAATAAAAAAATCTTTTTTTCTATTGCAAATCATTTAAAAGAGAAAGAATGTCTTCGATCACATTATTAACTTTAGCTGATGAGTAATCACTTTAATTTTAACTAATGAATAATCACTTTAACTTTAATTGATGAGTAATCAGCTTGCTTCTATCATCTTCATGACAGTTTTCCCAATAAAATGGATTGTTTGCAATATTTTTATGCAATCTTTAGCTCTTATTCTAATTATATTTTGATTAATGGTACTAAAATTAGTTAAGTAGAAGGATGAAGGTATTATTGCAGAGAGAGAGAGAGAGTGTGTGTCGGAGATTAAAGTATCGTTGATTTATTAACATATCGCTATGCATCTTTATTATTTATATAAATCACTGATCAATTATGATATGAAATAATGAGCACTTAAATATATGAAAATAATTTGATAACTTAAAATAAGATAGAATATAATTCATTCTTTTCCATTATTTTCCTTTTTGTCTTTATAAGTTTTTTTTTTTTTTCATTCAATTAATTCACTCGAATTTTTTTCTTCAATATTAGATTGATTTCCATTTTTTTTTCTTTTAAGATTTCATTCATGTAATAATTTTATTGTAATAATTCAAAAGGATATAAAATATTTAGGAAAGGAGAACAAATAGTGAGAAGAAGAGAAGTCGAATTAAACAGAAATAATTGATAGTAATCTAAATAATCCCTCTAAAGCTAATTGGAATGAGAGTGAAATGAGTTATACATATATATTATATTTTTTTAATTTATATGTATATATATATCATATTTTATATATATATATATATATATATATATATATATATATATTATATATATTTTTTATACACTTATATTTACATACATACATATCATATTTTATTTTTTTTTGTTTATATATATTATATATATTTTTTATACATTTATATTTATATACATATATATTATATTTTTGTCCTACTTATCTATATATACATATATTATATTGCATATTTTTTTTATTTTTTTGTACATTTATATTTATTTTTATATACATACATTTATATTTAGATACCTTTACACACATTTATATCATAACTATGCTTCCTACAACCATTTCTTTTATTTCATTTATTATTAAGTGCTTTTCAATTATATGGCTTATAACTTGGACTAAAAGGCAGTCCTAAGTAATACTTGTAATTCCGCCGGAAAATACAAATTCCAAATAAACCACCCAATGACCGAACAGATTAGTAAGAAGAAGCAGAGAGGAACACGACAGGTGTTTAGTGGTTGGCCGATTAGTCTCCGTGACACTCGTCTTACTTGGTGACAAGTTCGGGATTGTCCTAGACTGGGGTATTAGATAATAGGTTTATTAATTCGTACATGATTAAATAACAATTGAGATTATTTGTTTCATTGACACAAAGTGGAATAGTATTGTTCGATCTTTAGATAAGTACCATTTCAATATGTATCAAACTTCTGATCAAGTTGCTATCAATAATTGTTTTGATTGAATGAAACGATTTAAGGAGTGACTGATTTATACGATGATTTTTAATGAAGATAAATATTTATAGTCAAATTGAGAGATTTTTGTTGACATGTTATTTTATGGCTTTTTTTTTCTGCTCCTCTTGACTCTATAATAAGGGGAATAAGACTTGAAATCTTAATCTTTTCAAACTTATCGATTGATTTACGTGATTTAACTTTGTGGAAAATATATTCGTTTATTTGTTGAGCATTTCAGGTGAATACAGGTAAGTGAAAACAACTGGAATATCATTTGGAGATTAGCTGTCTGACAAGTATGGGAAATAGAGATCTGACAATCGCAGAATCACCAGCTGAACAGGAATTACCTGTAGATGTAACAGTCGAAAGTATCCCACCACAATCTCTTTCCACGTCATCTTCATCCATTCCATCTGCTAACATAAAATATGATGAACTGGAACCAAGCATGTTGGATAATTTAGTAAGGTTCACTTCGATTTGAGGGAATTCGAAAAGCTAAATTTAAAGCGATATCAAATCTAAAATTAGTTGGCAAATACATATTTTTTTTATAAAATTTATTTTGTTAACTCTTTACATGGAATTTGTCAGCTTGTTATCTACGTTTAAACTTAATTTATTGTTCTGTTTGATTTTTGTTTGATATAACACTTCAATGTTATGCAAATATTTTTTACATTGTTTTAATAAAGTTATAAAATAAAGAGTGAAGAATTAAATAAAAGTGAACATTTGCAGCCATCACATCAGAAGCATATAATGGGTAGATTGGACAGCATCCGTAAAAACAAGCAGCGTATTCTATCTACATTACGTGAACTTAAAGAGAATACAAAAGAAGGAGAGGTGAACTTGAATTAATATTTAAAAATTTATTGATTAGTAGAGATTATTAGTTGCTTATGATGAATTTAGCATGCTATTTCCAATTTTTCGACCGATGAACATTTCCTTTTTTCCAGTTTGTAATCACATTAAATTATTTAGCATAATCTAACATGAAAGAAGCAGAAACTTGTAAATTTGTATACATACCAACTTATTTTCTAAAATTACAGTTTCCAAATAAAGAAATGATGAGTAAAATGATTGCAAGCTATGATGCACTCAGTGCACAAGAAGAACAATACGTCCAATTAATGCAGAAAATTGTTGTAAGTTTGGTTGTGAGTAATGCTGTGTGAAAATTTTGCTGTTGATGTCACGACATATTCAACCAAATATTTTTTTTTTCTCCAACTAAGTACATATACTTTCCTTCTCAGTTAAAATATATCGTTGATTAAGGATTTTTTGGACTGGATATCAAAATTAAATAAAAATTTGATACTTTGTATAACCATTTTCAATGCAATATTTCTATCATGCAAAATATTTTGTAGAGTTTACATAAAAATGCAGCTGACGATATACAACATGAAAATGAAAGAAACAGCGAAAAATTGATACGGGATGATAGTAACACTAACGAACTGAGGGAGAATACTGATGAATCAAACCACAAATTATCTGATGAAGCAATCAATAATGATCTAGAAGAAGTTAGTATTTTCTTGAGTTTGTAACATTGAATTATTCGCAGACAAATTACTTATACTGGAAACCATGAAATTGAAGCTGGATGCGCATAATTTGTCACAGAATTCGTGATATTATCTTTTTTTAGATGAATAGTGAATTATCAAAACTAGGAGTTGTAACAGGAAAAGCAGTTGCCGTCTCGATCATGAATGATAAATTACTAGAAACATTACAATTGCATCGTGAAAAGGTATTCTTTTGTCCATATTTTAAAATTCTTTTGGAGAAATAGACTTATGAATTTTTATCAAAATCATTGGATTCATTAATTTTTTTCTTTAAATCAGAGCTTATCTTCTGGTCGCAGGGTAGCTTTTTTCTATGCCTAGCGTTGAACCTTAACGGAAATTTTAATTGTTTCATAAAAATAATTTTGAATGGTAGAAAACTACTGTTCTTTTTTAGAAATTATTTAGAGTTAGATAGAATGTTAGTAAATTCGATATGTTGCAGAAGGCTACGCTAGAAGAACTACATCGAAGAAAACGAGAAACTCAAAAAGGTATAGCAGATGAGACATTGCAACAAGTTGAAACAGCTCGCTTGAAAGGTAGAGCTGTATATTCAATTTTAGTTTACATTCTGGAACTCGTCCAGAAATTTTGAAATTAATTTTTTCTCTTCTGTGCAAAATAAAGTTTTAAAATAGTGAGTGATCCTTACTCCAACACTTTTTTGAGATCGTCACAGAAGAGGATTATACAAAGCATAAGTGACTTATCCACTCAATTTTTCAGAATGTTGATTCTAGCAAGTAATTCCTTATAACGCTTTTTTATTTAAACTTAACTAAGAAATTTTTGTCTATTTCTTTTCTGCATACTGACGGTTCCTTTGTTTTACTTCGAAACGTTTAATCGCTTTTTTTATATCACTGTTTTTTTTTTTTTTTTTTTTGAAAAAAAACTATTTGCATTGCGAAGTATTGGGAATTGTATTCCATCCTTCCATATTTTTTGAAAGTTTCTACTATATTTTCCTTTCTTGTCAAATTCTTAGAAACAGTTTTTTTATTAAGATTTTGGCCTTGCGACACAGATAAAAAATATGCATATGGGAGTAAAATTTTTTGTTTACTTTCTAATCTGCTCTAACATCATCTTTTTTTTCTTTCCTACTACATTTCATAGGTTCGAAATACAGGAAAAGTGAAGAATGAAAAGGGTAGAGGAATACAGTTCATTTTTCAGCCTGCATTATATAATTCTATATATTAAAATATATGAATATTTACGTATAAATGCAAGTACATGCATGTATGTTGATGTATATGTGTGTGTATGTATGTATGTATGTATGTGTGTGTCGGATATCTGTAAAGCGTGTGCATTCTGCTTTTAATTTGTGTTGTTTTCTTGTCTTTGACATTTAAATTAGCTGTCATTTCATAGAGTCTATTTCGTTATCATCATTTTTGTCATTTTCTAGTTGTGACATCTTTCAAATTTATAGATGAATGAATCTTTCTATTAGAAATATTATGATGGTTCTTTAAATTAGCGTTGTATCCTATAATGAAGAGTTTTTTTTTTTGAAAATGTTTACAAATTTTAATGAAAATATTCATGTGATAGTTGCGCTTGCATTTATTTATAATTTGTTGAGGTGCACAATTTGAAGATAATTGATGATGGGAGGAATGCAGCAATGATAGGCAACATTTTCACGTTTGTCTGAAGGAAGAACTAGCCTAGCTTTCATCTTCCTATCTACTAATATCCGTTTATAAATCGACTCATTTGCATGCCTCTATAGACTTATTCTACTCCCTCTCTTATCCATTTCCTTTGGCAAATTTCCTTCTGTATCCATGCATCCTTACTCCTTGGAGACACTAATTGAACATTTTTATTTGCTAGCTTGAGCATATCGATTTTGTCAACTGTAATATGTACATTTACTTACCAACCATTTTCACCTACGAAAAAAGCAAAAAATAATGTTTTAATGGGCATAAAATATCTGTTACGAACTAACTAATTTCATCTATGCCCAACTTTCCTTCTTATTTATTATTATTATTTTTTTGAACTCATTATAGAGCATATTGGAATAATCTTATTAATATTCCTAGTTTTGATTTTTGTACCTAACCAGTGTTGTTTTTTTTTTGATATCATGAAATTTCTTCTCTTCTATCAGTAGTGATGAATTAAATAGGATATTATAATTGAGAAGATAATATTAACCATCATAGATGTTAAAAAGCGACAGCTCTAGTTGAGACTTGAATTAGAGTTTTATGCAGTTGACACTATTTCTTTCAAGATCCCTCAAACAATTTCTTTATTCCAGTTTACGATTAATAGTGATTGTTAAAATTTATTGGCATAGATTTTTAGGAGATAATTAGCTACTGGATGTGTAAAGCGGTATTTTTAGAATGTATCACTTGCAGTGTAATATATATATATATTTTGCGGCTTTCTTTCGTAATTAAAAATTTTGCGAAGTTGTGGTAATTACTCTTCGGTGACATATTTTGTTGTCTGAACTTATGCAATGACAAATTAAAAAGAAAAAGAGGATATGATGGAGAAAAAAAGTATTCCAGTTAAAAACATTTGTTGTTGATTGGTTGACTGACTGAGCAACTAAATGATCAACTAGCTTCATGAATGATTGACTAACTAGATGACAAGCTAGATAATGATGATCCATCAACGGAAAATGCCATTTGTTACAATATTACAGTTAATGGGAGTTAACTTAGCAACTGATGATGTCGATTTGAATCTTTATGCTTGGAACTTTCAGTTAAATCAGTTAAAACTTTTATTTAGACTGTTTCAACAGCCGACATCCAATTATGTAATATTAAATATGCAGATTGTGTTCAGTCATCTTACAATCTTCAAAATTATTGCTTCATGGTTTAAAGTGGTTTTGATTTGTTAGTTGGAACAGTTGTTCTTATTTCTCAGCAATGTAATTCACTCTTTCATCGGAAATATTTGACATTCATTTTCTTACCCTACCGTCATTCTGACACAAAATAACTACCTGTCATAGATAATAATTTTTTCCTAACATTTTTTTCTCTGTCGTTATCATTTAGATGCATATATTGTAAATTCTTGTTAGGATAATTACTTTTTAAGTTGCATCGGAACTAGAACAAGTGGAAAGAAAACGTAAAACGTTGGAGCGATTGCGACGTGAAGCACAACGCCGTGGCATCAAATTGGGGCCTGGTTCAGCATCAGAGCCGGATATTGTTATTGAACCACAACCGGAACCAAAATCAGTTACTGAAGCAAAGTTAAGGGCTAAATTACAAGCAAAGAAAAAGGTGACTATTTCTAGATCATTCTTATAAATCACATTTTTGAAATTTCTGAAACTTCATATAATTATATAATTTTATAAATGAAAAACTCTGAATTTGCAGCATGTAACATAACACATTTCTTATATTTTTTTCATTCAAGTAATTCTGCTTAAATGAGTATTTGTTCAATACTCAACAAAATAAAACAGTTGCAGTATCACAGTTGAATAAAATTATTGCATTATCATCTGTTAAGTAGAATAGAATGGTTGGAGAATTTTAAAGATTGGATTTATACATCATGACTTATGTAGCTATTAATAATTAATTTAGAAAACATTTCAAGAATTGTTTTTTAGCAAAGTACTGAATTGGAAGATGATAATGGACCGCCAGTACCGGATGATTTGGCACCGGCTGAGCGAATTCCACCGGTCTTGGAAAATGAACAAACTGAAATTGAACAGCAGCAAGAAATGGAAAGAAAAACCTGTGAAGTAGTAACTAGTGGTGGTGGAGTTGCAGGGAAAAAAAAGAGAAAAGGCAAGAAAGGACGTGAACAACAGCAAGAACAACTGGTGAAGAAGCAGTCTGATACAATCAATTCATCTATACGGTTTGCTTTATTCATCCTTTGTTTGGTATTAATTTTTATGAAAAATATCAATATCTTTTATTTATTTATTTTTTTGATTACGAGAATAGTCAAGCAACGCAAAATTGCAGTATTAATTTTATGTTTTGAAAGGTGGAAGAATCATCTGAAAATTTATAAAAATTTTTGGCCATAAAGGTTTTGAAATTTAGCACTGCTACATCGTTTGATAGCAAACTTTAGATCTAATTGGGTTTTCTTGGTAAATGTTTTAACACTTTTTTCTTTCATACATAGTATATACTTAAAACTCACTTTTAATAAGATTTATGTGAACAGAAATTTCTTAAAGATAAAGACAATATTATTGACTTCTGTCTGTCTTGATGATGTTATTATCTATATGTCAAAAATATAGTTAGTTAAAATTTTTAAAAAGTTTTTCTTTTTGATAGTGTAATAATACAATTTTTATTATTTACAGCGAAAAGCTAGCTACGATTGCAGCACGTAAAGAACGTATGCGAGAAATACGAGCAAAATTAGTACAGCCTGTTGTAGGGTCTTCTGATATGGATGAAACATTTCGTAATGCTTTGCAGCAATTAAAGTATAACTTCTTTTTCTTCATATATTAGTGCTAAAATTTAATATGCTGCCAATTCTTCCATATTTCTTAAAAATTTTTTAAGCAAAAAATTAGATGTAATTTCAGCATATGTTGGTTGGTAAAAAGTTATTTTAATTTTATAAAAATGAATGTATGGAAATTTTTAAGTCTTTATCGATGAAAAGATGAACTGCAAATAAATTGTAAATAGTGCGGTCAATAATAATTGTGGTGAATTAAGATGAAACGAACATGAAGATACTGAATTTCGTATGTAGTATAATGTTTAAAAACACTAGGAATGTACTGACAGTGATATGAAAGCACAGAATCTTTAAAAATTTTTTTTTTTTAAATTCAAAAAACTTTGAAAACTTTATATGAGTTTATTGTTCCTGAAATGAAATTAAGGTATTTCCAACAATAGAATTATATATATATATTTATGTTATTTTTTATGATTCCAACGTTTATGTTTTTCAGAAGTATAACTGAAATGCGAAAACAGTTGGAGTTATTACATGAAAAAGGAGCTAAATTGCCGGAAGAAACGGCCGAATTATTAGAACGTCAACTGCAAGCCGAAGATGTTATCAGTCAAAATGAAGCAGAAATGCCTGATGTAGTGAGCATGAGACAGAGTTCTGAAACGCCATTCAAGGAAAGTGTTGAGGTGCTTTTCGAAGATAATTTTAATACTTTACTTAGCATCTTACTCACATATGATCTTTCGTCGATGTCTTAAAATCTTTCGACAGTGTCCTTTTGTCCTTTCTGTTATCCATTGTGCCAGAGATGCTCTAAACATTATATTTTATATCTTATACTTAATATTTCTAGAGTATAATATAACGACTTAAATGAATAAATAAAATTCTAGCGAAACGTATAAGACAAACAAAAGTTATAGATTAATTTGCTTAATGTTTGAAGCAAAGTCTTTAAATTAGATTAAGCTTCATTCGTCCTTCTCTTTGGATCTTGTAAACTTGAAAATCTCAATGTGGTTTACTGTAATTCCAATTAAAAAGTGACATCTTAATCAAGATAATTTTAAATTAATCAAGGAAATTGTACTTGATTCTTTACCATTCTTGAGCCTCTTTTTTTAGAAGCTTATCAGTAAATTAGGTTTTTTATTAGCTTTGGTGGATTCTGGTGCATTTCTCTAAGGAATTTGTGTGTGTCCATATTCCGCTCATATTTTTGGTTACTTGAAGTATACAACGTACGAAACTTTTTTTTTGTTTCTTTAGTATTTTTCCATGTTTTTGACCTAATCTCATATATATATATTTATTTATTTATATATTACGATCGTTTGAAATTTAAAAAACAAATGGTGCAAATACACCGTTGAATGCCTATTTATCATGAAAGAAGAAAATTTCCCTTTTTCTTTTATTTTCGTTACATTTTCATTATGATCTGAACAGCTGTTGTTGCTTTATGATTGATCGTTTTAAGCCGACTTAAGGAGGAAACAGTGGTCGTATAGCCGCAACTGTTCCTCTCCCAAACAACAGTAGCATTTTTCAGTTCTTACCGATCTAATATATTGTCTTTCTGAATGACAATTCATATTTTTCTGTTTGAAAGAAATTGCTACAAGTCCGAGTAGTTTAAAGAAGTTATTTAATGCTATTTATCTTTCAGTCATAAAATTATAAAAACTTATCGTTGTTCATTCCTGAAAAAAAATTTTTAAAGCTTTGTGAAGCAGATTGGAGAGAAATAAGCCTGTTACTCATCATCATTTGTTTTTTAGATTCTTACTTTATGCATTTCGTTAAATGTTCAATTGCATCATGTTGACACCAAAGTTTATGACAGCTTCTTTGTCTTTGAATGAAATTAAGTGTTTGTCATAAAATGTTAAAATGAATAAATTCTTATTTACAGGCCATGGAGGTAGTTCGTAACAATTTTCTGGAAGTGATGGCACAAAAATCAGAATCAGTTACTGGTGTAGGTACTCGTGCCGACTTAATAAGCGATGACCTTTCGGATGGTTATCATCTTACAACAGAAGATAGTCAACGACTGAGAAATATTGAACAGGCGCTACAAGAACAACGCCAGTTGCTCGAAACAATTGCTTCTCGAAGTCATCAGGTACTGCAATTAGTTTCTCTTATTAACTTTCTTCCTCTTCTTCTTCTTCATTCAAATAGTTCAGAAAGTCAGAGAGATATATCTAGTAGACATTGAACTCTGCCCGTAAACAACTATAAATTTCCTGGTTATGAGTCTATAAAGATTCAGGAATTTTAAAGTATCAATTATATTTGTTGCAGAAATATAAGAATAGGAAATTTCTTTGATTATTTTCCAAAGCATTAAAAATTGCCGAGATGTGTGAATGTGTGTTTGTAACTGTATATGTGGTTAAGAAACTAAGATAATATGGTCTTTCGAGTAAATTTTTGAAACATTTAGTTGAGAATGAATCTTAAAATCTTGAATTGAATTTGTCAATCCTCTTTTTTTTTGACTAACTGTTTGTTGTATTAAACTAAGTAACTGAGTTCTCATTCACTTTGAAAATCGCACATGATAATATCAAAATCTTGTTTGTACTTCTTTTCATAGAGTTTTTTTTTTTTACTAATTTAACTTTTTTTATTTATTCGTAATCCAGATTATCAAGATTTTCATCCGTTTTCTCTAGCTCTATTCCAGCTTTGAATGCTTTATTTTTAATGATATCTTGGAAAGCATTCATTCGTTTCTTCAACTTTCCTTAATCAGTGACCCGTTAATTTCCTATAATGTTAGGTATTGAATGTTATGCATTCATACTTTACTTTATTTCATCTAGTAGTTGAATTTTTTCAATATAAATATTGTGCTTTAGACTGAAATAAGTAAATAAATAAGTAAATAGGATTGGTAAATATATATTTTTTAGATATGGGATGAATAGTTTTTATAATGGATTCAATATATTTGTAGGATTTATGCTTAAAAACCTTTGGTAGCTCTATTTTTGTTTTTGATAATTCCGATTCATCTACAAGGTTCTTTTATATGAATAAAGAACAAAACAGAAGGATGGATTTCTACAACAGATGAACAAAACGTTTGAAAATGATTTTTTTTTTTTTTTAAAAAAAAGAGATTATAAAAGCATCAAATTTTCTGGATTTTCCTAGGAGTTTGTAATGGAGATGTTAGTTATCTGAAAGTCTGCGACAATTGGTTTATCGTTCCGATATTTTTTATTTCACATTGAATGTCGTTAACCCATTATTGGTCTGCATCGGGAAGAGAGAGAGGATGCTATAGAGAGAATTAGCATAGCATCTCTTTAAAAAAAGACATCTTTTTGTATTTGTCAAGAAATTTACTTCTGCACAACTGATGTCTTTCATTTGGTGACTACTTTCTCTTTGTATCTCTTTCCTAGTCGAATTTTTGAATTTTTTTCTTTTTTTTTATCGTCTCATTATTGATTGCTTGCTGGCCTGAGCCTGAGCTGGTTTGTTTATGAATATCTCAGGGATAAGAGGAGAGTATGAGAGAGAGAGGAAGGATAGATCGGTAGCTCTCATGCATTTTTAAAGTAAGTACGAATGGCAAATATATATTTTTTTGTCATATTTAAAAATCTTTTTTCTTGATTCGATAAAAGCTATGCGCAAAATTTTTTCTTCAGCTATCGATTTTCTTTTTTTTTTTTTGCTTTTTTTTTTTGTTTAGTTGCAGAAGTGAAAAAATGAAAGAGTAACTAGTAAAAAAGATTAGGAAAATTAATTATCAGTTATTTTACACTTCTGTTTTTCTTTTTAGAGACCTTTAAAATGGACTTTAATTTAATTTGGTATAGAAATCTTAATCTAAGTTTCTGTCTATGCTGTCAAAATCTGGATCTTATACAGTGAAATCCTGCATCAAATTGGAAATCTTTGTATTATATAAATTACTTTAATTGTTCAGCTTAAGCTTATTTCAATTATTCGTAGACAGTTGCAGTACTTGATGACTATAGAAAATACGGATACATGTTGCATTTAATCCGATATTATGCACTTAATCCGTTATTATGAATATGGCAAAATAATTACTGATAATAAATATTATCTACATTTCTCGAAACTTTTTAAATCACAATTCTTGAAATTCATCATTATGTCGAGTGTCAAATATCAGAAATGAGAGAATAAGGACTGTTTCTTGCTAATAGCTGTTTTCACTGTTTGCTTTATTTAGTATTACTTTAAAAAAATTAAAAAAGAAAATACACACTTTTATATGCTACAAGATTTCCAAACTAATTAAAACATACATAAATTTATTCGAATGAGAGGTAAAAATGAACAAAATGCTAATTTATCTAGATTAATAGGATTCTTTTATTGCATCGGATTTATTAGTGAGGAAAAAAAGATTTATTCTTATTATTTAAGAATAATTTTGGGCGTACTCCTTACCTTATTTTTTTACGCAAAAATCAAAACGATAAATGCTATCATTAGTGCTAATGAGTGAGATAGTTCACGTGGACATTTTATTTAAAATATTTATTTAAATAGATCGCCAGAAGATTAACTTAAAAAAAAAAAATGTTTTAATTAACTTATCGAGCTGATCTTTATAATTCTTCACTACGTTACTCTTATTTTGATTTGTAAAAATGATGAACATGATGATTTGGTTAAGAGCAAAAGAGATAATATTGCATTAATAGTTGCAACAAATTAAAATAGTTGAATGAATAAACTGAAAGAAAATTAAATCGATAAAAATGAAGAGCTAATATTGCAAATACCTCAAAAATAATTGAGATGGAAAATTTTTGAAGTTTAATGATTCTCGATTAATTTTGCAACTAAAACAATTCCTACCGAAAATCTTCCCATTAATTTGTCTAAACATATCATCATCATCATCAATTCTATATTAAAATGATTGAATGCTAAAATTATCCTTCTCATCAAGTGATATCGTTAATATGTTTCGTTGATGTCTTCTGTATTTCACGCGGCTGTTCGTTCATTTGTCTGTCAATTTTAACCTTTGTTCATCTTAGCTTTAACAAATGAATAGGATTGCACCGATGGGCTGCGCAACTGTATCACACACACATACACATACCACAGACAACCCAACTGTATATGCCATCCATCCATCCATCCATTCATCCGTTCATCCGTCCGTCCCTGTCTCTCATCATCTGTTGATGATGCATCATTTGTTGAGGTTTGTCAAGCTTAACTTTAAATATCACAGCAGGACCTCATAGGAGCTGTCCTGTTAAATTTGTAATCTTTGGTTAAGCAGTTGGTCAGGAAGTCGATGACTATAACGATCATCAATGAATGATGAATATGGATAACTGTAATAGATGATGAGGGTGGAATTTGAAAGAAATGATAATAACATTTTCTATACTATTATTATTTTGCTTAAATTTAAGTTTATAAATGGATGTTATATTGGTTAAAATGAATTCAACTTTATTTATCGATCAATGTGAAGTTAATTTTCATATGTATGAAGAAAATAAATTGATGAATAGCAGAAGGAACTTAGAAGAAGATTGCTTTCAGTCATTAAGTAGCAGTAGGAGTTTCTGCTACTACTTTCTATTGAGGCTACTAAAAAACTGCAGTCTTTTTTTCCATCCTTTCCTTTTTTTTGTTTCTCTTTCATGGTTTTCAATAAAATTTTGTTTCACCTTCAAGCTTCTTTCAGTTACTACTATTTCTGTTATCGCTGTAACTACTTTATTACTTTTTAATGAAAAAAAGAAAAATCCATTAATTACAGTGGTCATTTCTTCCTTTGCTTTATAGATAATTACTATTAAATTGATCTGTGTAGTTTTTTTTTCCCTTTTTTTATAAGCATCTATTAATACATTTAGTCACTTTATCCAAGCTTTACTTTCTAAATTTGTTTAATAATTTACAATTTCAACCACTATGCTAAAATACTTTTGGGTTACCTCTTCTATTGCTATGTTTATTCACCTTTTTTGAATGCTATGAGGCATACATTCTATATCATTTTTTGCTTCACTGTTAGTTATTCAAATATAAAATGTTATTTCGAAATTGTCGAAGTGTGAAGAGAGCAAACCAATATGGTCTAATGGTTTTATGGACTTCAGTCAACCGTAATGCTAGATTATCATGCAATCGAACAAAGTGCTGCTTGTTTTAACCCAAAAATACCTGAGAGATGCTCATTTTTATTTTAAATTGTGAATTTAAACTTTTATAAAACAGAGTAGTCTGCTGAGAAAAAAATATTAACTAAATTGCGGAATGTGACAATATTCTGGGAGTGCTTTCTGATTTTTTTGTTTTTTGTTTGATATAAACGTTCTATAGATAGAGCTAAAATAGAAAATTATTCCGGATGTTAAAAAAAGTGGTTGCAGTTTTGCATGTCACTTATACATGTTCTTATCGCCTTCTACCTTAAGGCTTACATCTATGTAATTATTAGATCATCATTTCCTGATAGCGTTACTTCATATCATATTCTTCAACAAGAGTTTTAATTAAATTTTGACATTTTCTTGATATATTCATAGATCAGTTGTTCTGCCATTCGTTAAATACTGATAAATGCTGATTGATGATCTTATTATGAAAGATTTTCTATAAACCACATAATATTTAGATATGCATTATCGATTGATTTCTAAAATTCAGCTTTTTGTAAACGTATAAAGTTGTACCAAAGAGCCATTGCCACATTACGTTTGATAATTTCGGAGCTTTATAATCTTGATGCTATAGGATGTAGTTGAAACTGTGAAGAGTAACATATGAAGCATCCATCATCCATCTGTGATTGTTCACTTTTATGCTTTATGCTAGTGCTTTGTAAACTGGTATGCTATCATATCTCATTCCATCAATTCCTCACCTCATCTTACCTTTTCTCATTTTTTGAATATTTGTCGATCGTGCAATATATCGCTTTTCATTCGGTTGTCTTCTTCTCGTAGATAAATTTTTGAATACCGTATTCGTAAGAGGAACGAAAATAGTATAGCATTAATAGATAGAGGTGTTTTTGGTTTTAATTTTTGTTCATTTTTTTAAATAGTTAAATTGAATATTGTCTAAAGTTTTAAATATGCTAGTAGTAACATATATAGTAGCGATAGTAATAGCTATGGAATCTTCTATGGATGGTAGCGATGTGTACCAAATGACAACTGTTGTAAACTTTACAACGGATGCTTATATATTCTAGGCTTTTCAGTTTCGATATTACAGTGATATCTTCCAACATCTCAATTTTGCTGCTGTAACAAGCAGCAGTTGTAATAGCTGCTGTATCGGTCCTAATTTCTTCATATATTAGTCTCGAAGTTTGCCTTAATCAATTCATTTTATGAGTGGATTTGTAGTCAACAGCTTCACTAAAAAAAGGCAAAGTTGTTTTCGTTATGTCTGTATATACCGTTAAGTGAATTTGTGTGTGTGTGTGTGTGTGTATGTGTATGTGTGTATGTGTGTGTGTATGTGTGTATGTGTGTGTGTATGTGTGTATGTATATGTATGTGAATATGTATGTGAATACATATTATTGGTAGTTGTACTTCTTTGCCTTCAATTAGTATGAAATGATCTAATTTAGGTTCAGCAATATGCTTTTCATTAATCCTTTTCATCGTTTGTCCACCCACCTTCAGCATTTATAATCAATCCAATTCGGTTATTCATTTCGCCTTTTCATCAAATTATTCAACAGTGTTTCCATGGATTTATTTCCCTTTATCATTAGAACATAGCTTACGTCACTCCCGTCGTCCTTTCCCTGCTATCAATATAGGATCATATTGTGTAATATATATTTAGAAGCAGGAAGTTATGTATTAGCATTCTACACTCAACCATGGATATTATTTTTATGATTCAAGTAAATTAATACTTCCCATTGACATAATGCTTTTATGTAGTT